CTGTTACCCAGGCTGGTCTTGAAATTCTGGCCTTAAGTGATTCTCCCATATAGTCTCCTGAGTAGCTGGGATTACAGGTGCAAACTATGGTGGTCAGCAGTATTTTGATTCTTGAAAAGGACTGTGCCAAACATCTTAGTGAGGATAAACCAAAGAAAGGTGAGATGAGCAAGTAATTCTAGAGGGCAGGCATATGTCCTTTGAAAAGAGCAGTCCATTTTTCTCCATGCAAGGATGAAAAAACTATCAAGTCAGTGAGAAACAGGCCACCATGGCTACACAGAGAATAAGTAGGTGTCAGGGACTTCTAGATAGTAGCAGGATAAGGAAACTAAATAACAAGATAAGAGTACCAAAAAGATACTCTTTCTTTGAGATCTGTGAAGATAATTAGATCCTCCTACGGTGAAAAAATAGATACATCTATTTCCAACTATTTTCCGAATAGTATGGTTTTGAAAATAACTTTATGATTAAATGTTTTAGATATAATTTAAAATATCCACAAGATCACAATATTTGCAACATATGTTACTATTTAAAATATTGTACTAAAAATAGTATAATCTTAGATATTCCTTTCAAAGTCCAGTTTCTAAGGAAAGGGCATTTGGAGAGGGGGAGAGCACTCTGATTTCAATTCCCAACATCATTGTGTAGGAATGTGAGAAGCTTATAGGTCTGCCAGAACTAAGAAACTAAAGAACAAGGACAGGCAATTTTATGACTATCACTTTTATGAGATTACATATAACTAGATCCGAGTGAAAGTTAATTTCCAAACATATACACATTCAGGTAATGATAAGCTGCCTGTAAATACCATTTAACTGAACGCATTTTATTTCTATTATGAGGAATGATTTGCCCTTGAGGGACAAAATAGTTTTGTGTATGTAATATAAAAAACAGAAGCACGGACTTTCCAAGGTTATATCTATATTTTCCTTTCTACCTATGCTATCATCTTATATGTAAGGTTATCCAAGCTAAATACCCAGGAATCTTTGCACTACAGTAGTACAAAGGAAGCCAACATAAGACATCAAAGAGGGAATGGAAGAAGTGAAGGAAAGAGGGAAGGAAGAAAGGAAGGAAGGAAAAAGGATGGAGGATTAAAAAAGGAAAAAGAGAAAAATTAAACAGCCTAAGAATGAAGGAAAAGGGTTTATCTTTGAAGGGCTGGTCCCCTCTCCAAAGAAAAATTTTAAGAGGATTGGAGGAAATAGACCCTTGAAAGGTCTGTTCCATGCCCAGGGTCCTGCGGACTTGCTGACTTGCCCCTCCAGCCTCACGTTGGACATTCCCCAGAGTCTGTGCACTCAGTCCTAAACTCACTTCCCACACTCAAGATGCCAATTAAACCTCTTTGTGTAAAACTTCCAAATCTCTTATCTCAATAACTGATCCATCTACTGGTCACTCATTCTGAGGCTCTAATTGTTGCCTAGTATTTCCCTGTAGAAGAGCTACCTTCATTTCAAAGCTTAATATGATCAAACAAAAAGACATCTTTTAAAGCCAACTTCTCTTTCCCTACTTCAGTTCACAGTGAAACCTTAGGAATCTTGAGTCCACATCCTACAGCAAGCTTGTCCAATCTGTGGCCCACATGTGGCCAAGAACAACTTTGAATGTGGCACAACACAAATTCATAAACTTTCATAAAACATTGAGATTTTGTGATTGTTTCTTCTCCCACTGGCTATCATCAACTTTAGCGTATTTTATGTGTGGCCCAAGACGACCCTTCTTCTTCCAGTGTGACCCAGGGAAGCCAAAAGATTAGACACCCTGTCCTACAGCAATAAAGTCTTCCTTCAGAACATATTTCTGCATTAATTCCTCACTGTCCATTCCTTCTGACACCATTTAAAATCTTAGGCAAGCATACATTTCTTCAATAGTCTTTATATTCATCTTTCATTGCTTTACCCCCAGCATCTCCCCATGCCAATCACTGATGCTAAATGAATCTTACCTAATTATCATTTTTAACCCACCATTCTCCTGATAAGAAAAGTCTTTTGGCCCTCTCTGCCTACAGAACAAAGTATATGTTCTTGGATCTGGTGTCCTGTCTTTCACTATCTGTTCCAAACCTACCCTACCCATCCCCAACAAAAAAACTGAAACTCTCCATGGTTAGGTGAGTCCATCAGCTCTCCTCCAAATGGCAATACTCATTTCCACCTTTTCCTGGTCATATATTCAACTAAATATCATCTCTTATGCATTAGGCATGTGGTGGCACAAACATGAGTCATATTTTACTTTCACAATATATTACAATAGTTTAAGTGCAAAACAATAGCTATACAAGGTTCCAAGGGCGTGGTAAAGGGAAATAGTCTTCCACAAAAATATTCAGAAAAGGGTGCTGAAGGATGCATAACAGGGCCAAATGGAAGCAGTAGCTTGGGAAGTGGGGAGAGCACATGAGAGGTGTCTCTAGGGCTTCAGCGGTAAGAGTCACAATTACCTATGATCAGGAACAGGCCAATCAGAAGGGCTTCTTACAGTCTGGGTTTTCCAAGCACAAGATGTTTATATTTGTGAGGACTGAAAGCCAAAGAGGGTACAGAGTTGCTCCAGGGATTTCACCCCAGGTCACTTTCCTTGAAAATCAAACCAACTGACATTATAAAGGCCCCAGGGAAAAACACCCAAAACTATGCAACCAGAGGTGTCTGGCTTCCTGCCTCCTTCTCAGCCTTCATTACCTGCTAACAACTTGCAGAAAGTTCAGTCGGTAGCTCTCATCTCACCACACCACTATTTCTTCAGCACATCCTCTAACTGTGCCTCCATACAATTTTGGAAACATTAAGGTGAAAGGATGAGGAAACACACTAGTGTTTTTTTGAGAACATTCTATGTACCAGGCGTTGTGCTGGGTGCTTCGACATATAAAGACGAGAAGAAGAAACTAAATAGAAAAAGGCAAAGTAGTGACTGGAAGTTAAAGCCAACAGCAGATGAATGAGGGCACTGGTTCTCAAACTGTTTCATGAGAGCTGCAACAGAACTCTCTAGGGAGACTGACAAAATGCAGATGCCCAGGCCAATAACTATAAGTCAGTAGAACTTGGATAAGGCCCAAAACTATATAAATATGTGTGTGTGCATGCGCATGTATACATATACATGTATAAACACATGCACATATATTTTTAAAACAAAAAGCTCAGGCCAGGTTCAGTGGCTCACACCTGTAATCCCAACACTTTGGGAGGCTGAGACCAACCTGGCTAACATGGTAAAACCTCATCTCTACTAAAAATCCCAAAATTAGCCAGGTATAGTGGCAGGCACCTGCAATCCCCACAACTCTGGAGCCTGAGGCAGGAGAATCGCTTGACCCTGGCAGGCAGAGGTTGCTGTGCACAGAGATTGCGCCATTGCACTCCAGCCTGGGTGTCAAGAGTGAGACTCCATTTCCAAAAAAGAAAAAGAAGCCCAGGCAATTCTAAACACTGTATAGGCATTTATGAATAGGTCATCATTACATCATTAGAACTCCTGAATTAGGGTATCTACTTCTTCCTCTAGACCCCATAGTCTTTGTCCAAAGTGGAAGAAAGAGAAAGAGATACCATACTTCAATGAATCTTGACGAGCCTGACACACCATTATTTCACATTTTCCTTAGGGGGGAAAAATACACCAGCAATGAAATCATATTATGCAAGCAACTATAAGATGCTTCCCAATTTCAGAAATGTTAAAAGGTTTAAAAAATGTGCATTTTTGAACAGATGAAAGATAGTCAGCATGTATCAAGCTTCCACTAGTGTCTTGGTTAATCTGTGGTTACCTGCTTGGCAAGTGAGATGAAATTCCCTGAGTTACACAGCTAGTGAGAGACTGCACTAAGACTGTTCCCAACTGCAAAGAACTGCATACAGAACAAAGTAGAAGCTCTTGGGTCTGGTGTCCTATCTTTCATTATTTGTTCCCAACCCACCAGAGCCCAAGTACTGCCTTTGGTTACTCCACAGAGTTTACGTGAGCAGTCAAGCTCCAAAACCAGGACCCTTAACCTCTGTCATATACCTCTCTCCATGGGGCACATGTAAAACATTTAGAATGGTTCTTGGCACAAAGCAAGCTCCAAACAAATGCCATCATTCACACAGCTTGCAGTGCAGTGAGAGAGCCAGATGTGATGAGAAGGAAAGAAGAGGGTACTAACAGAGAATAGAATAAGGGGACTAAACCAAGCCTTAGGTGGTCAGGCAAGGCCCCTGGACCAATTAACATTTAAGCTGAGAACTGGACAATGTTGAGTAGCACTTAGCATCAAATGAAGAGGTGGAATGGGGTGAGGTTTCTGTGAATCCCAGCCCCAACGTAGAATGAAGAGCATTATTCTGCTCTCAACCAGAGACAGCACTGAATCCAACAATATTTCCTGGTAGACCACCTCAACTTTGTCTGTAGTATTTCCATCAGCTTCCAAGGTCTAGAAAGGGGCCCACTGAGAGAGAAGGCAAATTTGAATCTCACTGCCTGTCAAGGGAACAGATGAACAGATCTGCTTGCTAGGCAGACGGCAGTGGAGCAATAAATTAGCCCTATAAAATAAATTTAAATGTTTAATCTCTCTTAATTACAATGAGACATTTCTAGAAGATTTTTTTAATAGCAGGCAAACCACAATTACAATGTTGAACTCATTGGAAAGCCCCGCTGCCCCTCCCTAACTGCCATTCCCCCATTTAGGCACTTGAACTCGTTACATTTGGGAATAGCTTTATTATTCAAGGTGATGATGTCAGCCTCCACAGATCTGCAACATGGGGTGGGACAGAAGGAATGCATTACACAGACTCATTGGGAACTGAGCCCAGCAAGCACTTGGTGCCTGGAAGAGAACAGAAGGCCACATCAGTTTGCTTTACACTAGGCTCCTAGCAAACACAAAACCAAACGCAGGCATTTAATTAAGGATACAAAGTTTCCCTCATCCCAGAGGACTGAAAACCATTTTCCTTTTCTCTTTCTTAAAAAGAAAAAGCCATACTGAAAAAGAATGTTTACAGAATATTCAGACTTTTGCTTGAGACTCATTCAGGAGTCAAGAAATAGAAGCTCCAAGTTAGGTCACAAAAATGCAGAGATGGCAAATATTCCAGAATCAAAGCTGTGAATACTGAAAGATTAGTGTGAGCTTGCCACTAGTGACCAGGTAAGAAGTTTTAGAGCAGCATCTTCCACAGGCACTTCCTTTAAAAAAAAAAATGTAGCCACAAATACCCATGAGTCTGCTAAAACTCTCAGACATCCTATTCCCTGCACCTGAATGCCCATTGCCAATTTGTTGGCCAGATCAAGAATGACTTCAGTGAGGTTTTTTTGAATGTCCCCTGAGTAAGGCTAGTTTCTCTCCTCTGTTATCCCCGACCTGAAAGGAGAACATACTTCTCTTACTGTAGATAAAGTACTGGGTTGTAATTAATCATTTATACTTCTGATGTTCCACTAGACTAAGTAACCAAGGGCCAAATCCACATCTCATTTACCCAAAGATTCTTGCATCTGGCACAATACTTAGCAAAATACAGGTTGGACAAAGAATTAACTGAGCAATGATCTATCTACAATGCTGTCTGCTAAAAGAACTGTGGTCTTTATGGGTTTCTTGAAGGGCAGAGTGAGAGCAAATGAATCAGATTCACAGGTTATTACAGTATACATCCCAAACCCTGGCCATTACCAATGTTTTTCTATGTAATCAAAAATATGTATTTTCCCAATATTTTTCTTTAAAGTAATTCCCTTTGTTAGTTTTCACCTTGTCTTAAGCAATTACCAGAGAAAAACCATGATTTGGTGCCTTAATTCTATCTTTTTCAAATATACAAAATATCAAATTACTAAATCAAACACTGATCATCCTCATACCACATCCAACCTTCTGGCATATAGTCATAGAGGGGTGCATATAACACATTTGAGGACATCCTGGATTAATAAAATATTTAAGCTGAGAAGGTCACCTGAGATTACCAAACCCAAAGTCTTCATAAATGGAGAAGGAAACCACAGTTCAGAAGGACCTTCTTTCTTTCTCAACTCGTGAAATTAGTGAGAAAATGGACAGAAATGAAATTAGGCAGACAATGGACAAGGATCAAGAGCACCAAGTTCCCATGACACTGTTTTTTCTGTAACAACTGGGACAAATATGAGCAAGAGAAAAGCTTTCATACCTGTAACATATAGCAAATATCTTCAAGATATTTTAAAAGAAACCCTTTTATTTAAAATACTGGAAGAAAATAAAACAGATTCTGGTAGAGTAATAGATATATGATTTCTTCTCTTTCCTAGTTTTCTAATAACTTAACAATGTGGTCTTAATACCCTTTATACTGAAAAGAAACACACATGCACACACCCCATGCGATGGGTAATTTAACGTGTTAACTTGTTAAGTTATGGTCCCTAGTTGTTTGGCCAAATGTGTCTAGATGTTACTCTAAAGGTATTTGTTAACATCTGTAACCAACTGACTTTAAAGCAGATTACCCTTTATAATATGGATGGATCTCACCTAATCAGTTGATGGCCTTAAAAGCAAAGATGAGTTTTCCAAAGAAAGAATTCTGCCTCAAGTCTGCAACATGGAAATCCTGCCTGAGTTTCCAGCTAGTAAGCCTGCCCTATGAATTTCAGACAGGTCAGCCACATGAGCCAATAATCCAGTCTGTCAATAGAAAGACAGATTTAGATTTGGATCTCTAATTGTTCGGTTTCCCTAGAGAATCCTGAGTAATACACTATATTTTTCCATGTTTGGGCATTTGGGGGAAAGGAATTAACACTAAAGATGACCAATAGGGGTTTGGAAAGAAAATAAAGGAAAATAATAATTCAACAACCACAAAAGAGCTAATATTCATCTGTTACTGGTTAACAGAGTAAATGTGAGAATAAAACCAAGTAAGCCACATACAGCATACCTCCTCAAATCAATTAATTGTAAATTAGCCTTTACAGAAACCTTTTTAGGGAACATACTGAAGAATTCCTTTCCTGATGTTGTTTATCTTTGCACTTGATTCCCATTCTTTGTTTTCTTTAAATCGCTAATAAAACAACTAAAACACTCCTACCCAAGTTTCACAGTTTGCTTACAGTGTTTTTTTTTCTCTTTTTGAGTGGGTGCCAGAAAAAAAGATACCGAATTCATTTTTCTAAAACAACAGTATTCCTCCTCTTCATTTCCCCTGCAAATGAAGCCAGCAGGATTTCTTCTAGTGCATCATTTTGTGTTATTGATATGCAACAAGCTTATCTTCCTCCACACTATCCCAGGGACACTACATACAAAGCCTTTTGTTAATGAATCAAAGAAGCAAATGAATTCTATAGCCCATAGTGACAACCAAATCAATATTTAAAAAATATTCAGATCATAAAATTTAAATAAGAGGTCTCTTCCACTCTGCACATCAGCACATTATAAATCTCCATGTTTCTATTAAATAATCTATAGTGCCAGTGAACTGCAGACCAACTCCTAGCTCTGTTGTATGTTTATCATTACACTTCCTGAAACAGAGAAACAAACCATCAGAAAGTATTTATTACACTATAGGCAACCCAACCACAGCCAATGAAGAAGCCCTTTTCAATTGCATTGTAAAATTGGGTAATGGTTACAACTGGATCCTTGAGCAGTCTGTCAGTTTGCACTTAATAAAGAGAATTTTAAGACATAATTACCAGTCCTTGTTATTTGGTGTTCTCCAGTGACTATCCTAGTAGTTAATAATGTTGTATTAAACTGGCTTAGAAAAAAGAAGAAGAAGTCACATTCTGAGAGTGGGGAACTAGAGAATGCCAGGGCAAAATACTTATGGACAGAGCAATGAGCAAAAGGTTTGGAATTTAGATTTGGAGTCCTCACCTTTATGCCTCACCTATATTCTCATTTTTAAAATGTAGGGACCAGAAATCTATCAACCAGTGACCTTAAGAGATAAGTGTCAAATTTTTAAATGAAAAACAATCCCACTTAGAGTATGATTCTTTTGTATTCTCAATATTCCAAAGTTTATCCTTTTAAATTCTAGAATTGAAAATGCCACCCCTATACTCTCAGCATGGTCTTCTAGAATTGCTAATATGGCCTGATGTACTAAACAAAGAATGGCATTCTTCATGACTCGTGACAGAACTGATCAGGACTCTCTTGCAAATATCACTCATGAATCACAATATTTTAGACATTTTGACTTACCTTTTCCAACAGGCAAATTGCATGTTTGCATAAGTCCTTTTGGCTTTCACCAGTGAGTAATTTTTGGGCTCCAAGATTTTTTGAATTGTCATTGTCAATATCATTTGTTAATCTTATTTTCAGAATCTAGTAAGCATGAAGGTGCTGATAGCCAGAGATGACACAGGCACAGAGTTTATCCTCAAGAAACACACAATCTGATGATAGAAAGAGACATGGGTCCAGCTACTCAAGACATAAGGGCCATAGCAGAGGAACAAGCAAAGAGTGAGGGGATGATATAGCTTGGCTCTACATCCCCACCCAAATTTCATCTCAAATTGTAATCCCCATAATCCCCACATGTCAAAGGAAGGGCCTGGTGGGAGGTGATTGGATCACAGGGGTGTTTTCCCCACCATGCTGTTCTAGTGATAGTGAGTTCTCAACAGACTGATGGTTTATAAGGCAGTTTTCCATTTTTGCTTGCCCTCTCTAGCCTGCTGCCATGTAAGACATACCTTTTCTCCTTCTGCCATGATTGTAAGTTTCCTGAGGCCTTCAAAGCCATGAAGAACTGTGAGTTAATTAAACCTCTTTTCTTTATAAATTAGTCAGTCTCAGGTAGTATCTTTATAGTAATGTAAGAACGAACTAATACAGGGAACATTTAGGACGAAGGTTCATTTTGACTGGGGTTGGAGTAGATCAGAGAAGCTTCATTGAGAAAAAGAGCATCTGAAATGAGTCTTTAAAGATGATCTCAACTACAGTAGCTAGGAAAGGGCAGAAAGAAAACTTGAGTCCAAAGACACACTGTGACTATTTGCATCCTTGTGGTTTCATTCAAATTTGTCATTTTTAAATTATTCCTAATGAAATTCAAGATATTTTTAAAACAGAAATAAAATATTTCAAACACAAGGACCTTTGTAAAGCCTGTGCTCTCCATATTATCTGCCTCTAGAAATAAAATTCTAATATTATTGTTTATAAACTCTAGCGTGTTCCTGTAACTTCTATTTATATACATTGATATTTTTGATCTTTTTAAGCTTAGCATAAATATCATGTTTCATATATTATTCTACAACTAGACCATCACTCAAGATTATGAGACCAACCTATTTTGAGTCAGGTAACTCTAGTTCAATAATTTTAAGATTTCATATTCTTGCATGAATATAAAAATTCATTTATCTGGTATTCTACTCATGAAAATTTCACTTATTCTTTACTTTTGGCCATTACAAATAATTCTACAGTTAACATCTTTGTAAATACCTTATTTCCTATATCAAAAAGTATCTCTATGCAAGTGGAAACTCTAGGTTAAAGCATATTTATCTTTAATTTTGTCACCTCTTATTGCCTTGTAATGCACAAGAATGTGAATTTTCTAGTTGTTAGTCCAGGGTTCTAACTTTGCCCAATAAATCAAGATTCCTTATTTGCTGTTCATACTTTCTACATCTAACTGTGGTCTACCTAGATCTCAAATACTAAGAAAGTTAAAACTTTCTTCTATGACTGTGAGTTTGTCAATTTTTCCACTCCATTTATTTACATATTTTCAGGCTATTTTATTAGGTGCATGCAACTTTAGAATTGTTACATTTTACCAGTAAGATATAACATCTTGATAACACTATTGTTATATACTGGCAAGGATGGACTGCTAGACCACATACAATTTTTGGGGTTTGAGACAGTGACACAGAGCTAAGACTTAATGGAGAAGCAGATTGAGGGTCAAGTGCTAGCAAACTCATGTCATACATTGTTCAACCAGACTTGTCAGGAATAGAAATTCTGACTCATATCTGCCTGACTCAATACTTTACATTTTAGTTGGGTCCCAATTCAGGGGGAGAAAAAATGAGAGCTATTTAATGATTCTCTAATATCTAAAAAAGGATTCCCTCTAGAGTGGATTTTGGTTCTGGCAACTGTCCCAAAGCTGTCACTAGCACAACAGAAATTTAGGAAATTATTCAGCTTATAGCTCCTGGAGCACACAGGAAGACAGGTACATGAACTCAGCTTTTTCCAGGAAGACCTATTTTCTCCCTACCTAGAACTCAGAATAAGCTAGATGAATTTCCTTTTGCTTTCCTGTACTCATGTGTAACTCTTTAGACCATTCTTTCCCATAGAATACAGTCCTCTGAGAGTTGCTATTTTATGCAGGGATAGCAGTTCCAACTCTCCTGCCTCCAATGTCAAATGAGTATTAACACCTAATATCAGCCCTCTAGCAAGGGCTCCACAGGGCAGTCTCACATACGTTCCTCTCTGATTTGCAGTTTCCTTTTTGTTTTGAGTTTCTGTTGATTTGCTTTACTTCCCTGCAAGGTTCATCATACACTTATTAGGATTTTTATTTTATCTAGCATTTCTTGAGATTGCAGTGAGAGGGCTTTTAGCTTATCTTTTGTGCAATTCTGCCAGAACTAGAGGTAGAGATACATGTGACATGTACTTGGAACAGCCCCTGGTCTGTGATAACTGCTACAAGTGTTTGCTGTAATTAAAAACATTGTCTCCTCTTCTCTTCTTTGTGTAGCAGTCAGGTGACATGCATAGAAAGTCTAGTGTGTTACCTTTACCAAATAATGATACAAAACTATGCATTTTAAAACTAAAGCATATTTCTATATAAAAATCTAGTGAGGTATTGTAAAGATTCAATTTGAAATTGATTATGTACTCTGTTGAGAGAGGTGATGCCAATAAACAAAATATTTTTATTTAAAAACACACATTTGAGATGGCTCTTTTAGAAGCAGCTCAGGATTGCAGCTCCCAGTGAAAGCGCAGAGGGTGAGTGGACGCCACATTTCCAGACATATCTTTATTGCCCACAGACCAGGAGATTTCTAGGCGGAGGAGCCCTACGGGTTGCCAGCGTGGATGTTTTGGCCAGCGCAGCTGTTTTAGCCCGTGTGGCTGTTGTGCCGGTGCTGCAGCGCGGCAGCCTCCATACAAAATACACTGGTCTGGTTGCCCTTTTAAGCTGGCCAGGAGATTCACAGGCAGTGCCGTTGTTTCAGCTGGCACAGTGGGTTACCGCACAAGAAATCACAAAGATCCCGGCGCCCTTTCAGCAGGCGACTGGAACACCTAGGAGAGAGTCAACCATTCAACTTAAAAAAAAAAAACAACTCCGAGGCAGGGAGCCAGGTGATCAGGCTTGGTGGGTCCCACCCCCACAAAAACAAAAAAAAATAGCAATTGGAAACGCTCAAGGTTGTGAGTTTCATGGCAAGCACAGCTGAACCCAGGATGGTGCAGCTTGGTGGGGGAGGGGCGTCTGCCATTACTGAGGCACTCCACCCCTACAGAGGTAGCCGCCATTGCTGAGGCAGCTTGCCATTGCCGAGGCAACCCGCCATAATAGAGAAAGTCCGCCATTACAGAGGTGGGCCACCATTGCCGAGGCAGTTCTAACCACACCCATATAAACAGGACTACAGGGAAGCTCAACAGCAGCAGGGCGGAGCTCAGCAAAGCCTCTGCAGGCAGACAGTACTAGGCTGCCTCCTTGATGGGCAGGGCAGCCCTGGGAAAAAAAAAAGGCAGGAGCACAACGGACACTCATAAATAAAGCCCTAACTCCCCAGGACAGAGCACCTGGGGAAAAAAAGGCGTTTTATGAGTTCTGCTGCAGCAGACTTAAATGCACTCGCCTAGCAGCTCTGAAAGAACAACAAAGCTCACAGCTCAATACTTGAGCTCCTCTAAAGAACATACTGTTTCCTCAAGCAGCTCCCTGTCCCCTGTATATCCAAAGAATCACCTCACAAAAGACTGATCAGACTGACATTTGGTGGGCATAATTCTAAGACAAAGATAACAGAAGAAGGAACTGGTAGCAACCCTACTTTTCTGCAGCTGCTGCAAGTGATCCCCAGGCACACAGGGCCTGGAGTGGACCTCAGCAGTCCTACAGCAGAGGGGCCAGACTGTTAGAAGGAAAACTAAGAAGCAGAAATAACTTCATCATCAACAACCTGGATGTCCACTCAGAGACCCAATCTGAAAATCAGCAACTACACAGACGACAGGTGGATAAATCCACAAAAATGGGAAGAAACCAGCACAAAAAGGAGGAAAACACCCAAAACCAGAACACCTCTCCTACAAGGGATCACAACTCCTCACCAGCAAGGGAATGAAGCTGGATGGAGAATGAGTGTGATGAAATGACAGAATCAGAATTCAGAAGGTGGGTAATGAGAAACTTCTGTGAGCTAAAAGAACATGTTCTAACTCAATGCAAAGAAACTAAGAACGTTGAAAAAAGATTTGACAAAATGCTAATGAGAATGGACAACTTAGAGAGGAATACGAGTGAATTGATGAAGCTGAAGAACACAACACAAGAACTTCGCAAAGCATGCACAAGTTTCAACACCCGAATTGACCTAGCAGAAGAAAGGATATCAGAGGTCAAACATCAACTCAATGAAATAAAATGAGAAGGCAAGATTGGAGAAAAAAGTGTAAAAAGGAATGAACAAAGTCTCCAAGAAATGTGGGACTATGTGAAGAGACCTAATCTACATTTGATAGGTGTACCTAAATGTGACGAAAAGAATGAATGCAAGCTGGAAAATACTCTTCAGGATATTATCCAGGAAAACTTCCCCAACCTAGCAAGGCAGGCCAACACTCAAATGCAGGAAATACAGAGAACACCACAAAGATATTCCGCAAGAAGAGCAACCCCAAGGCACATAATCATCAGATTCAACAAGGTTGAAATAAAGGAGAAAATAGTAAGGGCAGCCAGGGAGAAAGGTCGGGTCACCCACAAAGGGAAGCCCATCAGACTCACAGCAGATCTCTCAGCAGAAACCCTACAAGCCAGAAGAGAGTGGGGGGTAATATTCAACATCCTTAAAGAAAAGAACTTTCAACCCAGAATTTCATATCCAGCCAAACTAAGCTTCATAAGTGAAGGGAAAATACAATCCTTTGTGAACAAGCAAGTACTCAGAGAGTTTGTCACCACCAGGCCTGCTTTACAAGAGCTCCTGAAAGAGGCACTACACATAGAAAGGAACAACCAGTACTACCCACTCAAAAACATACCAAATTGTAAAGAGCATCAACAAAATGAAGAATCTGCATCAACTAACAGGCAAAACAGCCAGCTAGCGTCAAAACGGCAGAATCAAATTCACACATAACAATATTAACCCTATATGTAAAT